TACACTCAGTTGCTCAAGAGCTCTCTCTGCACCATTCCAACCTCGTTCAGGAACGACTTTGCACTAGCGGCGCTCAGCTATACGTGACGAGTTAGTAAATCCAATCGTCTCGGACTTTGGTTATGGGTGTAGGAGAGGGGAACACGTACTCTCACATGAACGCTCACTGGCTTAGCCTCTGCGCCTTCAAAGGCCGTGAACATGACGCCGACGCTCTTCAATGTCGCCTTTTCCTGGAACTGCATCGCCGGCAGGATGACTGTGTTCAATAGTATCCTGTGAGTCTGATCCTGCCTCATAATGAGACGAGGTACCTTGCTGCCTCTGCTCTCGCCAGCCTCGGGATCTTCCAAGTCTTCCAGGGCCGATGCATCAAAGGAGCCAGGTATCGGCAGACCGCCTTCGTCGAACTGGACACACGCCTCGGGAACGTTGATCTTGAGCATACCAGATCCGCGCTCCTTCCAGCCAACCTCCTTTTCCAAGTAGAATATTTTGGCTCTGACTTGGACTATAGTAGCCTCTCCGGCCTCACCGTCGTCGACAGTAACTATAGCACGTTAGCATAACTTCAAATTGCCTGAGGGGCGGGCGCCTTCTTACTCTTCTGCAGCTTGGTACGTTTCTTATCGTCTCCAGCCTTGGTGTCTTCCTTGTCAGACTCTTCCTTTTCGTCCTTGTCGCCAGACTCTGAGGCTCCATCGGCATCGCCTTCAGTCTCGTCATCGTTGTCGTCTTCCGCGTCGCTGTCAGGCGCTCCAAATGGTTTGGCAGCCTTGTCAGTCTTGAAAGAAGACTCGCCCGTCTTGGCGAAGCTCGACAGCGGTTTACTGCCGAGACCGCCGCCAAAGGCACTGCCAAACACTGAGCCGAAACCGCTATTTGCGCCGGCGGGCTTAACGCTGGCGAAAGGCGACGAGGCTGAGCCGGCACCGCCAAAGCTGAGGGTGGGGGTAGGAGCCGGGGCGGCGGCATCAGGCTTGGATGGAGATAGACCGCCAAAAGGTGACGCGCCAGCCTTGGCTCCGCTGCCAAAGACACTTCCCTTGGTCGCACTTCCCAGCGAACCAAAGGGGGAGGCACTCGATGCCGCCAATTTAGCGAAGCCAGAATTAGCAAACGCAGAACTCGATGTTCCCTTCTTCTCGTCCTTTGTAGAATCCTGTGATGTAGCTGCTTCTGTTGCGGCACTCTCTGTCGTCTTTGTTTCGGTAGTCGGTGGCGCCTATGGGAAGCGAAACAGCGTCAGTATGTATGCACGGCAAACACCAGATGCGTCAAGGTCGAAAGCCTACGGGGGAATCGGCCGCAGCGTCACCAGAGCCGGCAACTTCGTCCCTATGTCTCTTCTTCTCTGGCTCCAGCCGCGAAGCCCTGTCCTTGGCCGAGTCGCTCGAGGCGACGCTCTTGACGTCGGCCTCGTCGGCGTCCTTGTCCTCGTCCAGCTGGTCGTGCGCCCGCTTCTTCTTGGGCGACGAGACGTGGTCCTTGTGGTCCTCGTTCTGCGATCCCGAAGGCGTCGTATCGGCGGTGGCTCCTTCGGCCTTCTCTGAGATGGCCGTGTGCTTCAGTTCTTTGCGGGCAGCGGCGGTCTCGGCGTCCTCCTTTGCGTCGATCGGGTCCGACTTGGGACTGCCCGGCTGGGGATCGTCGGCCATGGTGATTTATGGGTGCTGTTCCTGTTGGAGTCGGGTTTTGCGTCGCCGTGTACGTTCGTTCGTCGCTGGGTGGTGGGTGCGGAGGTTCTCTGTGCCCGACTTTTGCCAGCGATGGAGCAAAATCGGTGTAGTTCAGTAGCGTAGAATCTGCTGGCAAATGGGTATTGCCGCGCAGACGGGAGGCCAAAAAAGGCAAGAAAGGGAAGACGAAAAAAAAAGATGCAGTTGCTGTTGCGAATGACCAAAACTCGTCTCCACGACGAGAGCAATAGTAAGTTAGTAACCGGGTCGTCGACAGGGTAAGAACACCGAGGTCCGCGTTTCTGGGTTCTGGGGGCGGTGGTGTCGCGCGACTGGCGTTTGGGGGTTAAGGTTGTGGTTGAGAAATGTCTACCTTAGCAAGGTAAGGTAGTCCAGGTAGTGGCGGTGCTACGATGTTGCTGCAGTGCAGTGCAGTTCAGTACGTAGTATAGTACACCTAGCACACACTCACTAAAAGGCAAGGTAGGCGCGATACAGGCGGGAGCGGGATGCGGTGACAACAGGCTCAGGCCAGTAACCTGCAAGTGTATGGTTCTCGTCTTTCGCGGAGAGATTTGACGTTGGCCACTGAGGTGGGAAATAATTGGACGGGGCCGACTCCCGCTTGAGTCAATCGATCCAATCATTCGGTGCGCTCCAGGCTCGGATAAGACGACGGCACGACGCTGGCCAGACGGAGAGAGAGAGAGAGAAAAAAGAGCCCACCCTCATCTCAGCTCGTCCACGGGCAGGTTGAATTCCATTGGGCCCATGGCGGCATGCATTAGCGCCCTTTGCCTATGAGATGGGCTAGAACTTCCTATCCATACCTTACCCGAGAAACTCGCTACCTCTGAATCTTTGTTCTGTCTTGGTTCCCAAGGGTTTTGCTTTATTCATTTATTGTTCCACATACTTATACGCCCACCCTGCCACAATATCCCAGGCTAGGCTATTCGATATGACAAGGACCTCACTGCAACCTACCTAGGTACGTGGACTGGAAAGTGAGGGGTACTTTAGACTTCAAAAGTTCAGGTTTGGTCCTCTAAGGCGGTACCTTAGACTGTACCGTACCAACGGTGGGGGTTCCCCGCCTCCGACGTCCTTCAGGGCCGCTCGTCTGAGGTGTCAGATGAATGGCCCTGTGGTTTGGTGGTGTGGCTGTCCAAAAAGGGCAATGCAGGTGACATTCTAGCGGCAACTACCGAAGCCGCTTGCAGCTAGAATTTGGTCTTCCTGTGCCTCTGGTTCATGGCCTGGGCTTGTCTAACAAGCACCTAGTGAGTGAAATGGCTTGGACTTATAACCATTCCCACTACACGACATGTTCCGCTGGGAACTGCTTCCCCTCTTAGAACAATTTAGCCAAAGACAATTCGGGTACGGCGGCGCACGCGGAGTCATTGCGAGACAGGGCACTTCTTGTCCTCGGACAGCCGATACTAACAGCAGAAAATCAAACGCCCATTCTCATTCATTGGCCCGCCACCATCCCGAGAATGAGTAGCACAACATGGATATCTAGAATACAGTGTGCGCCTTAGACCTTCGCCAAGGCCACAGATACAGTACATCTCTCAATCGTTCCACACAAATAGGCCCCCTTTGGCCCCGACTTGCGACCTCGTCGTCGTCGTCGTCGCAGCTCAGCTGATGAAGCAGAGGCAGCCCAGGCCGAGGTAGAAGACGAAGAGCGGGTACACGGCGATCCCAACACGGTTCTTGACCACACCACTGCCCCCCAAGATGCTGACGCCTGCCGCCAGAGACCACGCGACAAGGACGAGGTACACGGGGACTCGGACCACGGTCGGGATGCCAAAGGCAGAGAGGAGTGCCGCAATCACCAAGGGGAAGAGCGTGTATCCTATGATGCAGACACTTTGCGCGAAAGAGCTACGGTGGTCTGTTAGTATTCACTGACACACACAACACAAAGAGCGACAAGGAGGGAGACGGTTCAACTCACATGCTTCCTCCCAGCAGCTTAATCTGCAACGTCACCACAGCCTCTCCAATCCAGATCATGGCAAAGACACCGCTAAACACAACATCCTTCTGATCCGCCCTAGCATTGAAGCTGAGCAAGAGACTGAGGAGCAGGCAAAAGATGAGCGGGCCCCAGAGATCCCAGTCCCGCAGGCCGGGCGTCATGTTATTCTGCGACAGCAGCGCCTCCGAGTCCATGAAGCGGCTCGCCAGGCCCGTGAGCTCCTCGCGGGCGCCTGAGATGCCCGCGCCGCGTATGTTGGCGTACGCGCCCCGCAGGCCGTCGGCGTCGAACATGGTGCCGCCCAGTAGGTACTTGGGGTACAGCACCTCCCTCATCTTGGCCCAGACGGCAAGGAGGTCGCGGCGGAGCGTGTCCCAGACCGACTCGTCGATTGTGTTTTGCGGCGCGGCGCGGTCCTCGCCGGGTATGCGTGATGTCCAGGCGTTCTCGTTCAGTGGCCGCGAGGAGGAGGAGCTCGAGCCGATGTTGCCCGTCAATGGCTGGCGCGAGGATGTGTTGCCGAGAGGGTCGTCGAAATCATCTAGATCGGCTTCATGACAGACGAAAGGTTAGCTTGCCATCTCTTGGTCAAAACAACATGTCCTCATGTTGAAAGCTTACCATCATCAGGGTCAATCAAGTCGTCGTCAGGCAAGGGAGGGTTGGCATAATCGTCTCGTTTGCTCGTAGATGCCATGGCTGGAACTCGTGTAATTTGGCAAATAACACTATTGTCGTATCTTCGTCCTTCTTAACAGCCAAGGAAGTAGTATGTGAAATGTGATCGTGGATATCGTTATGGTTGAATTGCAAGTTGCACTGCACGTTCAAGTTTCCGAGATGGGATGGTGACTTCCTGGATCTAATTGACGTACGTAGCAGCTTGCGACTCCTGGGATAAGGTAGACTCCACGGTTTCCTCCAGCGAAGCACTAATGGGTGGTCCAAGCTCCCTTGAATCGGAAAAAAAGAGATCCGCATCCCCGATCCACATGATGCCACGCCATCGCTAACTGGCCAGAAAAGGCCCTCCAGTCCCGCACCGTCCAACGCGCTGACCCCACTCCGTGCTGTACGGAAAACCCGCCCAACCTAAGTCTCAATCCCGGATTTCAATGTGGATTCCCGTCTTGTCCGTTGATGCTCTTGTAGTCGTAAATGCTCAGGTTCATGTCCCGATACATCTCGACGTCAAACTTAGCTACTCAATCATGGATCATCTTTCAACATAGAATTCGGACGCGAGCTGGATAATGTTGCCCTAAATTACCTAGTTTGGATGAATACGCCAAAAAATAGGAATGAAAACCCGTGCCAGCAAGCAACCCTGCTGCCAAACATTCTATATACAAACATTCTCCTCCTTTGCGAGCTCGATGGCCTTCATTTCGCCTCGCGGGGTATCTTTTCATTTTTACCGTCCGTTTCTAGTAAAACGCGGAACGCCGATGCCTGGTACACACAACCCCTTTCCGAAACCCACCCCAATCTTTTTTCCCCCTTATCGTCACCGACCATTACTGACTTCCTTGGAGAGGTTTCAAAAAGCCTCCTGCCTACTTGATTCTCCCAAATTGATCACATTCTGTTCGTTTGGATTTCGCCAATGCGCTCCGATCAGTGTAAGATGGCCACCCTCATACTGTCGTCTCCCAAGTCCGAGTGATTCAACTACTGCCATGGGTAGCGATACCCATGAGATGGATCATTCGGCCCTGCCGACCCATTTGAACCATTGCCGGAATGTCCGTCAATACGTCCGTTGGACTGGCCGTTAGCCTGCCCATTAGCCTGCCCGTTGGATTGGCCATTGGGCTGTCCGTTCGAATGCCCGCCAGCATGTCCATTGGAATGACCGTTCGCCTGGCCTTGGCCGTTATACGGTGGGGGTATCTCGCCCCATGGCTGATTTTGCAGTGCTTCTCGTTGACCAAAACCCTGTGACTGCGGTTGATGCTGCTGACGACCAGGCTGGTAGTCATAATGAGGCTGCGGTTGATGATGCTGATGTTGCTGTTCTCGATGATGGTTGTTCCTCGAGTAGGGGTCATACGCCGATGTGTATGCAGGCTGTAAGCCGGGCCACGTGGGCGGCGCCGGCTGAGAGTAGATGTAACTGCCCATCTGAGGCACATGGCTATACCCGGATGGTATGCCTTGGTTGTATGACTGTCGGTATGCCGCCGAGGGCGGACCAAATGTCTTTTCCTTGTCGTATTGCGTCCACCGACGAACCGCCTGGTTTTCCGGTCCATGTAAAGAAGCACTCCCCGCATTGGGATCCCATATAGGGAGGCCACTATCTGGAATAGACTCGCCGCGCGGCATGCCTCGCGTGTATGTCGCGAGGTTGCCATTGATTCCCACCAATGCCCAGGCGAAAACGGCAACATCTCTGATGGAGCTCATGAGATGGTCTACAGGTGGGCCCCCAGCAGCCATGACGTTGTCTTGCAAAGGCATGTACTGAGGCATGAGAGGTGGTCTGAAATTGTAGAGGGATTCCTGGGGGACTTGAGGCCGGATGGGATGATGACCCCAAGGCGCCGCAAAGAGACCATTGGTGTAGGTTGGGACAACCAACGGCGGGTGAGGTGCCGGAATTGGAGGGCGTGCTCTGCGAATGACGACGACAAGACCGTCGGACGTGCATGACACGACAGCTTCGAGCTCGAAGGCCTGGGGTGGTTCCCGGCGACGGTTGCGCAGGGGTTCCGCGGGCGTCGATGCCTGGGCGGCTGATCCGTCGGCCGAGGGGGCGGAAGTAGCTGCAGTGTTCTGCGTCTCGTTGCTCGAGCCAGAGGCGTTTGTAGTCGCTGTTTGGTTCGCAGAGCTGTGGTTCGACATATCCGGGCGACCTTGGTCTTCTTGTTTGATGACAGGACCGTCATCATCGTCAATATCCATGCGACCATCGAGTTGGACGCCTCCGCCATCAGAGTCACTGGAGTTTCCGCTGTTGTGCTCTTCGTCTTCCTCCTCATCGTCAAAATCCTCAGGCCGACGCGGGTCTCTGTACCAAAACCTCAAGTAGGCAATCGAGTCGTTGGCCTTTGCACTTTCCAAGCAGCGAATGGCGTCCGGCAGACAGTTTTCCTGTATGCACTCATAAAAGCTCTTGTCTTTGATCTGGTCGGGTCTAACGCCAAGAATCGACGAGACTGCATTGGTGGCGAACATGACGGTCAGAGTGCGGGTGAACCTATTGAGAATGAGAGCTGCGCGGGGCTCGCGTTCCACGGGGGGCATTCTGAATTTGGGTGAGAGATGCTCCAGCATGTGGTAACGAGGATCCCGAGGGGAGCTTGAGAACAATCGACGGATCTGAGGTGCTTCGACAGCTCGTCCTGTCACGACATTAGCATGAGAATGAATTGAAGGTGAGGCTGAAGTGTGTTCGCTTACTGTGACTCTTTTCGTCTCGTCGATAAATACTGGTACAGGCAACCAAGACATCGTGGACGACAGTGAAGCAGCATTCGCAGCTCACCCACTGGCCATCGCGGGCCATGATGCGAGCATAGTGAAGCACGGCTGCCTTGTCCAGCAAGACACCGCGACTGTGGATAGAGCGAGCGAAGGGTACCTCGTCGGGGTGAAAGAAGTCAAAGCATGATTTTCCCTGCACTTCCTGGGGGGTATAACCCAGTATGTCGTAGACTGAGTCGGACACGAATAATATGGCAGCGCTGGGGTCCGTGGAATGAATGGTCATGAACGTTTGCTCCATGGCAAAGAACAGTTGGCTCGTGGCTGAAACAAGGTCTGGGATATATGTCCGATTGAATCGCAATTACGTCCGGCTCTCTCGTACGTCGTCCGGAGTCTTAATCGGCTGCGAAGTAAGACGAGTATGCTTTAAAAGAATGCTTGAATGCCGCGGAGAGCCTGGTGGATCCTCAATACCGCAAGGCGTCGAATCAGTGGCCGCGTCCAAGGGAAGCTCGATTATCTTAAGCGGCAGCTCTAATACGTCTGGGGAATCAATCGGGTCTGAGCAGAGCGATTGTTTCTCTCAGATTGTGGTTGAGTGTAGTACACGATGGTTTGCTGGGCGTGGGACACAGATTGCGCTTTCACGTCGCAAGCGAAGGCTGTCAGTCTCACTCTCACGGGCTATACCGATAGAGTGGCTGGGGCTGTGAAAACGGCGGGCTCGACTTATGTGACTGGCGCAGGGTAGCAGGAGTGCCGAGTATGGACGGTATTGCGTCGCGTCGTACCCAGGCAGGTATGCGCAGTGAGGAAAATGCGGACTGGAGGTGTTCAAGTGACAGTTGGCAGCTCGGTGCGGCTTACTGCAGAAGGAGAAACGGGGGGCTGAAGGTCGAGGTGTAGTAGAATATCCAAGCTGATGGATAGTGCGGAGAGGGCGCAAGCCGGTCAGAACGAGACCGTTTTGTGGTGGTGGTGGTAGTAGAGGAGGTTTTTTTTTGGGCGTTGGTGGGGTTTGTAAACGTCGCGGTTCCCTCGAGGTTAAGGTAGTCTGAGTTTGAGGTACATGCAGACACAGATGACCTGACGTAGTGGATGTACTCGGACGTTGAACGAAGGTTGGCTGAAATCTCGAAGAAAAACGTCGAGGGTATGCGAGGAGATGCAACCTAGGTATTATGTGTACCGTACTCCGTAGCCGCAGGTAGCTAGTTGTGTAGGTAGTGTAGGTAGGTAGACTAAAGCAAGCAGCAGGCAAGGTAAAAGGTAAGGTAGGTTAGATAAGTTGGGACGAGCCGAGCTGCTAGTGGCGAAAACGACGGGTTGCTTTTTGATTGCGGGATGCCGTTTTGTTGTTCAAGTTTGGGTCCAGAATGACAGAGAGAACAAAACACCTAATAGTGTAGTAATGGCCGGGAGAGAGAGGAGGACGAGGAGGAGGAAGAAAAAAGAAGGAGGAGATCTGGAGGAGTGTCATGTATTGCAAATGGGCGGAGGAGACGAGCATCTTTTATGACAGCTCGTCTGGCAAGTGGTTTGGAAAATGTGATTTGAGAGAGAGGCTGCGGCGGCGGCGACGGCGGCGGGGGGACGGGAGTGAGGTGGAGGTGGAGAAGGGGGGGGGGGGGATGTCCAGCTCTCTGCGCTGAGGCTTCTTCGCCTTCTTCGCCTCTACTTCCATTTGACTCTGCTTGGCTTTGCTCTCGGCTCTGTGACGGCACGGCACCGCAGCGCGCATCTTCTCATCAGTGAGTCTGCAGCACAGCGCCCCCCTCCTCTCTACGGAGTAGACTCCCCCCCCCAAGTCAGCCAGCGACTCGGGCTTCGCAAAAACGGATGCGGATAGGGCAAAAAGATTGGTGAGGAGAACTGAGGTGACAGGGCCCAGCTGAGCAGAACAGGGTCCCAGGGCCCAGACCCCCCTCCATCTTCTTGCACCACCAGGTGTGACTGCGAAGTACGGATACCACCACAACTTCGACTACCAAGTACTGTGTCTCCGTACGCAGTATGGATACCACAAGGGTCATGAACACGGCTGTCGACTTCTCCAACGTCAACCTTCGCCTGCGAATACATACTTCACCCCCGGTAGCTGAGCAAAATGTGGATGCGTAAAGCATGCCCGCGCGCTACTCCGTACAGAGAGTGTCAGTATCCTTATGGACGGGATACACAGATGAGACTTGATAGTCGAGACGGAGGAGGACAGACAGATGGATACCTTTGGACAAGGTATCTCTCCGGTCTCCGCTACGGGTACTGATACACAGGCACAGGGGCAGCTTCGACCGACAGAACACGCCCAGACGTGCCAGACTCCATAGCCATCATCCATCATCCATCATCCATCCTTGCGGGTGCCGTGCGGCTTGCTTGGGTCATGATCATCTTCTCTCGCGCCAGGGCCACGCTTTCAGGGTATCACCGTTCCTCCAGACCAAAAAGTACAACTCCTTGACTGCCTACCTACACAGAGTGACAGACTCTCTGGATAACACAGAGCGACGGAGCAGTACCTATCACCTCAGTATCCGCACTTCCCAACGTCTAGCACCGTATGCCCGTGTCTTGTACGGATATTCATAAAAGGGCACTAAGACAGGGGCAGGGGTTCGAGAGTGGCTTTCCCCCCAAACTCATACGTAGCCCAGCTGGAGCTATGTCCTCCATGCCACAGTATAATTCGCCAATCCATGCCTCCATGGGAAATAAGGGAATAAGACTGCTTAGCTAGTATTGCTTCGGTTAGCTGACCTACGTCCGTACTACCCGCCGTGCCGCGCTGCTCTGTTTTGTTCCAACCAGCTATACGTCTGTCCCTCGACGGCCATATACTGCACAGTAGCGTGTGTGATAACATCCCTATGCTGCTTTCTGTTACCAAGGTATCCGTACATGGTGGCAGCGGAGGAATCGACGATCGTCCGCAACTCGACTCTGTATCCGTACGAATACAGCCACCTTTTTTTGATGAAGGCCCCCGAGATTGCAACGCTTGTTGATGGGGGGAGGGGCTTATTCAATTGACGTTGACAGCGGGGCAGAATAAAATGCAACTATGCCCGTTCCTTGTTTTCATATCTGGCGCATTTTTTTTTTATTCTTTCTTTTTGATCCTCCTCCCTGACCCATGTTTGGATTGTCGAGCCGCCCCCAGTCACAGCAATGCTGTGTCAACAAATCATACCAATGATGATTAGAGCCCAGCTTGCCACGTCTGCTCTCCCAGCAGAGGGGAGAAGGGCTGACAAAAAATGGGCAAAATGGAGTGATGTACCAAGTAGTGGTAGAGACTCTCAAACCGGGATACTACTTACATGGTCTTGCGCTCGGAGAGACCCGGCCATACTCAACCGCTGACCCGATGAACATTGATTAAATGTTACACACTCTGCCGGGTGCCTGGATGGGATGTCAGAGGGATTGATGTGTCTCCGACACTGAGCTCCACCGCACACTCACTTTATGCCGTTTAATGATGGCTAGATACTGCTGAGACAAACCGTTGAGAAACATTGCAGAGCTGGAACCTGAGATCCTTGTCCACATGGCCCGGATACAACGTCCGGCATCGAGCGTCAACGTTTTCGAACGCGGATGGACTCGCTCGAGCTGTCTGCCAACAGCTGCCATTGGAACCAGCGCCATCCGGAGGTGTCGAACTGTCGAATAGTGAGCATGGATGATAGACAACAGCCGCTGGTACCTGCGTGTGCATGGGTTCGCGCAGTGAGGGCCGGGCCAGTTGTTAAAATCGCCGCCATATATATCCATACTTGATAGTTGAGACCTTGGTTTGTTGCTCCTTCGAGCCGAAATCCGAGCAAGATCACACTCAAACCGCGTTAGTCCCGACATTTTCGCCGGGCATTAGCGATGCTGCGGGTTGATGCATAGCCTTTCGCCTCGCGGAATTGCACGCATTCGAGAACAAGCTGCCGTACACTAGATGAATGAAAATCTTCCGTCATCAATCATTCGATTTTGAAAATCCAAAACCAACAGCAAGCTCATGTTGACGAACGAGCTGCGAGCTTCTGCGTCGAGCTGTCCACTTCTTTTGCCATGCCCATGTCCATGATATCGAGAGCAGACATGGGGTTTGGGGATCTCGCAGGGGGGATCGGACAGTTCTTGTCTTGTTTGGGAAGAGCTTGCGAGAACGCGGCCCTTTGTCCCAATTCGAACTGACAGCCGATGGAGATTGCAGGGCAGCAGAGCCCGTTTCCCTTCCCCAAGCTCTCGTCACTGATGCTTGCTGTCTCCTCGTCAGGCCGCCCGTCATCCGTGTGAACGGGAGTGAAAAAGGCTAAAATGGCGTCCGTGTGGGTTGAGCGTCCGGGCAGGGGAGGGCGCTATGCTCTGCTAGGCATAGCTTGATGTCTGACTTCAGTTGACAGCTGTGAAGACATCAGAACCCGGTTCACCAGTTGGGATCGACTGCTAGGATCCCTGAGCCAGTCCGAAAGCCACAGCTCGTGTGGCCCATGTCTTCAAACTGTCCCTGCTCGTAATTATCACGACTTCTTCCTCTTCGGAAAACCCGAGGGGGCATTCGTGCACAGTCCTTGCCAAGTCAGATGCGGAGTGTTGTTCTTTTCAGAACGTTACGTACGGATGTTTCCGTCGTCCCAGGCCCCTGGATTTCAACACATGAGATCGTCAATAACACACTCTCTATTTTCTTCGCCAAACGTACGTAACTCTGGCACCGCAGCTGTTGATCGTTGGAGGCTCGAGCCGTATGCGCCGCTCGTACGGAGTATTTTGAAAGTAGCTATCGATGTCTAGGTACCTCACTAGAGAATATGCAATGTGTTTATCGACTGACTCTTTCGTCTTGTTTGCCTCAAGACTCATTTCATTCCCCTCTTCTTCACCGGATGAAGAAGTGGACTGTCTCTTTGAAAGTCGCAGGGCCCCTCGATGTCAGTTCGTGACGTGAACCACATGTAGACAGGATGCCGAGAACGCGGTGCCAGGCCGCGGGGGGCGGATGGTTTGTGCGACCGACATGAAAGATATCGCAGCGGCGTACCTAGCATGGCCCACGGACAAAGACCCACGACGGGACAGGTTTATTAACAGTTTGCGGATCCCAACTGCCATGACACAGCTGTCAGGGGTTGGACAGACATGGAGGGATCCGTACAGTGCTCCGTAGACGTATGATATTGACAGGCCGGAGCATAATGGGATTTCTTGTTGTACGAGGGTGATGCAGGCTCGATATCGAAATGCGGTGATGGATGGTTGGCATCGAGACTCGACGATTGGGCGGTATGGGAATTTGCAAGAGACGAGGGCCTTTGAAGATGGCGACCCGCCGTCATTTCTCATATCCCTGAATGCCAGCTGACGTATCCTCAAATCCTGTGCCTTTTTGTCTTACGAATGCGATTGAGGAATCAATGCTTCGTGCCTGCGCTGATGCCGTACTGCACCACTGCCATTCTGTGTGCAATGCGATGAGCACCGAGATGCAGAGACGAAGCCTGGGAACAGTATCGTTTTTCGAGAATTGAGTATCACCCTGTGATGAGAAGCTAGTCAGACGAGCTCTCACGTTACACCAAAGACTTGGATATCACGCGGCGCCGCAACAGTCAGCCTCCATACCTTTTCGCGCCTGGTTTGCCTCTTGGATAATGCAGGGCGTTCTTTAGTCTGATGCTAGGTGATGCTCAGCGCTCGCATAATGGTGCCTTGCGGCATCAGCCGTCTGGCATCTGCTTGAGAGGTCTCAAACTCGTACAGATACACTACGCGAAACAATTTCAGTAGTCGACGTTTGAAGATGGCTTGGTCTGTGAGGTAGGTAGCGTAGCGTCAAGTGAGGTGCTAAGGTAGGTAGAGTAGTAGTGTCCGCGGGCCAGGAAAAGAGCCGGTGCGGCCACACCAGTATCCACTATCCCTGGAGATCCGCTCTTTCCCTGCACCAATTTGACATGGAATTGGCCCGGAGGACGAACCGTGCAGGACACACACCCCGGGGAAAGAAGGACCCTAAGGCAAGGCGAGGTAAAGTAGGTAAGGTGTTAAGGTAGGGTTCCTTAGGGAGGTACAGCCTTCCGAGGTATCGGGTGATAACTCAGTTTTTCTTGGATACCTCCATCAAGGTGCCATTGCCCTAGAAAGGTTGGTAGGTTTGCCAGACTTCGCACCGCACTCCAAGTACTCAATCCCCGGAACGGTACAAGAGTATCCGGTCTCTTTTGTCATCGACCGATCTCATAGCCCTGTCCCCCCTCTCTTTTCTCAACATCCCGTTGCTCCTCTTACATAGGCTTTCGATGTCGAGGAAGGCTTGACGTTTCCTCGATCAATCACCTCCTAATCACATCCTAATCACCCTCCTTAGGAAGCCATCCCCGTCCCAGAATATCATTTTTCTTCCGAGTCTGCTGTCAAAACATGGCAAAAATGACGGAGACATTATGAGTTTGAAGTCTTGTTATTTGACGGCGCCTTAATGATGTCGCCTCCTTCCCTGTCATATGCCCGAAGGGGAAATCGCAGGTCTTTTTGAACTTGCAGCTGGTAGTCCTCTGAATGTTTGCTTGCCCTCGTGCCCTCCCGCCAGGTACATACGTTAATTAGTACGCAGCCGGTTTTGTTGACTTCTCAGCCAAGGTAGTCTCAATGATCGCCGAATGGCAATAGTTTTGTATCATCGCTCGCGTGCCACCTTCTGCATGGACAACCTTTGGTTTATACATTGAATTGACGTATCCATGCATACTTTGGGTTCGGGGCAGGTCCAAGCTTCTGAACCGCGTCACTGCTGGGACAAGGCATCTTCATAAACCGAGAACGCGGATTAACATAGCGGCCGATGCCTAGTTGAAAGCTTGAGACCTGGAGAAGTCCCGGTCGTGATAAAATCGGAAATGGCTCGAGGTTGCTGATGTGATGTTCTCGTGGCCAGTGCTGGTTGAGGGCTAGCGCACCGTTAAAGGCGTTTCCATCATCAACCCCAATTGACCCCTTCCTCCACTGATTCGGGCACTGCAGTGGCCCCGGCCCGGCCTTGAGTACCTTAGGTAGGTATTCGAGGTTCCGTCAACCACGGGGCGGCCCACTAAAGCGGAAAGTTCCCATTGACGAGTGCGCGACCGATTGCTTGTTCTATTTTCAAAGTTTCCTCTTTTCACGTCCACATTCGGCGAGAACAAGTGAGAAAACGCAAGCCCCACCTGCCGGGCTCCGTCTCCTTCCTTTGCAATTTACCTGCCAGGTGAGCTACCTTACCTTGCCCTGCATTGCTTCATTACCTTACTAGGTACACCGTATCTTGAGTTCACGCGCTAGGCACGGAGCACTCTCACCGATTTCTTTCTGTTGCCAACTGCCACTTTCATTGCATAGCATTGCCTTGAACTTTGTCAATTCTCTCTGCTTACCTTATCTCACCTAGGTACTCAGTGCACCCATAACGAAAGTCCGACTTGAGGTTATGACCTGGGACCCGAGCTGCTACAACTAATAAGAGACCTTGCACAAAACACACGCCAATAAACACGAAGCTGATCTCGAGTTGTCAACTGCATCTCCACGCGTCTTGCCTCCCTCTCCCGCCCTCCGCCCGCAGTTGCACTCTGACAGACAAGACTATCCGTAAGAAATTTCCGCGCAAAAGAGTTGGTTGGCCATCTCTGGACTTCAGGCCGGGGTTGCCTTCAACGCGTCCTCCGATCCCGACCTTTGTTGACCTTCAATTTTGTCATGGCCCCCACCTCAACACCAACTCCATATGACTTTCCGAGACTGAGAGTCTCGGTTCATCTCGAGGTACTTGCTCCCCCTTTCTTTGAGCTAGCCGGACTGGGGTTGAGGACCCCTTATTGCTCTTAGTGTATTCTTACCTGTTCCCTTCTTACCCGCGTATCTATGGATTCCCATCAGAGTTACCCCAGCTGCAATAGCTACCTTGAGAATGCCATGTTCTTTACGTGGCTCTTTGCCGTTCAATAGAGTTTCCGCTAACATGACCTGTAGGATGACACCAGGTTTCTCGCTCAAGATGATCCGGTGCCTGGTAAGCCCCGCCCCGGTATCATCTCGAGGCATGCTATCAACCGTGGCTAATCTCGCCTCAGAATTCTTTGATGTCAAATTCTGCCCCTATCAACCATTGGACGCGAGACCCGTCTTCGCCGCCGTCAGTAAGAAGCATGTAAGTTGCAGCACCCGAGTAGTTGTCTTGGGAGTGATCTTTGACCCCTGACCTCCTCTCCAGATAATCGTTTGCCGCCTTACGGCAGCTGCCGACGACTCGAATCCATGCGAAATTATCAGCATAATACGGGATGATGATGTGCGTCCTCCCTAGTAGTCAAATTACCCACTGCGGCCTCGGCAACTGACTCGAATAAAGACTGAGGCAAGAAATTACTCCTGCACTTGGACAAGAGACGCGGAGACCGGCAGGCCGCTATTATGCTACGGCGGCGAAGACGCCAAAATCAAGGTTTACGACATAATCGAACAGAAGCTCGTCAACGTGAGTTGAGACACATCTCACGTATCCTGCAGAGGTTTTGCTCACATATCACCTAGTGTCTCGTAGGCCATGGCGGAGTGAGTCATGCCTGGATAATATCACATATTGGGGGCTCTCGCTGATGAACCCTCAGGACGTTTGTGACGTGGTCACATCTCCGATAGACCCTCTGGTTATCGCCTCGTGTTCCGACGATACGACAGTCCGGATATGGAGTCTAGATCCCAAACATGAGAAGCAGCCCTGCTTGTGCATTCTTGGAGGCGAAGGTCATTACTGGAACCTGCTAACATTGGTACGTATAGCTCTATTGCCGCTTCCTGGTCGCAACTCTGAGGCTAACTTCTGTGTATAGGCATGGCACGACACGGGCCGATATATTCTTTCCGCCGGCCATGACCAGATTATCAATCTCGTAGGCAATAATTGCAGGCGCCGCTCCCATGTCCCATGATTAACAGGCCGTACAGTGGACAGTACCAGACCTTCCCACTGAGCACACCGACCGCCCAGTGGAGGTTCATTATCCTCACTTCTCAACATCAGAGGTTCACAGCAGTCTCGTGGATTGGTTAGTCTTTGCTTGGAAAAATTGCATAGTACACAACACTGATTTCTCACAGCGTATCCTTCTATGGCGACTACATTCTTTCTAGAGCCTGCCACGATGACGTGATTGTCTTGTGGAAGATTGAAGGCTTCTCGTCCCAGGACCCGCCCCCTCCGCAGTCCATGGCCCCGACAACCATCAACCCGGCCAATCTCACCCGCTCTGCCTTTAGCCCGGGCGTTTCGGCAGAATGTCCAGCTCCCTACACGCGGCTCATCGAGTTCCAAACGCTCGGTTGCGGCCCGCAATTCTTCATGCGGTTCAAGCTGCACTTCGTCCCCGATCAGCACCCTATTCTAGCCTTCTGCAACGCCAACGGCAAAATCTACTTTTGGGACTTTGAGCAGATTACAGGCTTCCACGACTATGTCAACGCCGTCAAGAGACCCAAGAGAGACGGCGACGAGGCCGTTCCGAAGCCCAGTTGGCTGCCCGCCATCACCCATCGGGCCAATACAAACGGCAAGGCCGCGCCGACGGTCCGAGAGAAGAAGGCGGCCGACAAGGCTCGCCGGACGGAGCTCGAGCAGATCCCCGAGCTGAGGGCCCAGTACAACCAGGAAACGCTGCAGACGTGGGATGGCAAGTTCACCGTCGGCAACCCTCAGGTGCCCCTGAAGCCCCACAAGATTGAGAACTGCGGCGCTTCGACTTTCGTTGGTAGACAGGTTGCTTGGAGCCCCGGAGGTGAGTGGTGTGTCGTGGTGGGTAGCTCCAACTTTGCTCTGGTTTTCCAGAGATGGGTACCCAAGAAGGATGCGTGAGTGACTTAATAGGATGGAGGGGTGTTGGAGGGTAATACCAGATAGAGAGGACGGTCCCTTGGCCCATCTCAATCTTTTTGATGCTCTCGACTAGGTAGCTTAGTTTTCCGCGTCAGAATAATATCGGCCAGCGCTTCTAGCTAGCTGTACGATACTCTCTGAAGGGGAGTGACGAGAAGACAGGCAACACAGGTCCCTCGTCCTCCTCAACGGGCGCCATCAGCTTCTGAATCAAAGCATCAAATTTCCCGCCGTGCTCCGCCATCTTCTGAAAGCTGCTCCGCGCGTTATTCCTCTCCGCCTCCCGCCGCGCCCTGGCTTCCGCCATCTGGCCGCCCTCCTCGTCGTGCGTGTATGACGGGATGAGCAAGTCGCCAATGTACAGCGACACCATCCCGCGCACCCGCCACAGCTCGGCGCTGTGCGAAAAGGGCCGATCCTCTAGCAGGTCGTTCATGCGGCCCGCCACCTCGCGCAGCATGTCGAGCGTCTTGAGCCGGATCTGGTCCCTCGCCTGCCGCAGCCGCGTGTCCCGCCCGTTGACATGCTCAGACGACCGGAAGCCGGATCCCTCCATCACGCTGTCGTCCCCGGCACCGCCGTCGAGGAGCGAAGGAGGCTCCTGCCACGACTCGTCCTCCCAATCCTCCGCCTCGCGATTCACCCGCCTCAACGAGGCCGCGTGCTGCGCATGCACCTGAAAAACCTCATAACTCAACAGCGCAGGCCAAAAGTCGACGGCGCACACGGCGTGACGGTGCTTGTAGTTGTAAGGAAACCGCTGGATCAGGTCCCGAAAGTACTCGCGCACGCGCGGAGCGTTGGCGAACGGGTACGCCTCGTCGTCCGTCGCCGTGGCGCGCGCGCTGCCGCCCTCGCGCATAAGGATCTCGGCGCCGAGGGCCCAGTAGTTGTTGCGCCGCACGTCGACGGGTTTGCCGTGTGCCGTGGACCGCGCGAGGATGCCAAAGGCGCGCTTGGCGTTGGCGACGTCGCCGGCGTCTAGGAAGCCGTAGATTGCCCGAACGAGGGGTCGGAAGGGGGACTTTTCAGAGGCGTATTTTGGTTTTAGGGTGCCGTCCTTTTTCTTGCGGCGGCGCTTCTTGTCGTCTTCTTCTTCGTCTAGATCCTCTTCGTCTTCTTCTACCTCGCTGGTCTCGAGCGCTTTTGGTAGAGACGCCGACGAGGCGGACGGTCCTAGGCGGGCCGGCGCATCTGGGTCCTGCCAGTGGCGGTGCGGAAATTTGCGCTGCGTCCTTGAGGGCAGCTCGTCCGTCTCTGCAAGACCGGCGAGATGGAGCTGGCGGAGAATGGAAGGAGTATGGCTGAGCGGATTTATGGAGTCGCTAGGGAGCTGGGGCTGGTATCTATACTCGTTGCTGTCGCTCATCGACATGGCTGAGGCAGACCTCTTGCGGCTGGTGGCTGGCTGGCTCATGGTCGCTTTCGCCCAGTGTGCGGGCCCATGTGATGAGGTTCTGATGACACGGGTAATATTATTGATGACGAATGTTTTATGAATATGTTGATATTGTTATTGAGTGTTCATTTCTCTGAGTAAGCTTGAGTGAGGTTGAGGTAGTGGTGTAAGTAAGGTGAGTGTTGTGGTGAGAATTCGGTCAAGAGTGAAGCGGGGCCGTCTGCTTCATTTACACTGTGTCTACCACAAGGGTGCCAAGTATCGAGGGATGGACGTGGAAGCTTCAACAAGTTGCTCGCAATTATTTAGCGCCAGCTTCATGACTGTCTTTCTGTTGGAATTTGGTTCAAGTAATTGTCTACGGCTGAGTATGTGGTTGGGAGTCCAGGGCAGCCTTGTTCTTGATCTTTATTTGCTCTTCACCCTAACTCGATCTATGAAGTATCGCTCCGGAGTGAGCGTCCCTTAATCCATTTCCCCCAACTCTTGGATTTCTTTGTAGACTTGTCATCACGATAGTCCCATACAGCTGCTAGCTCCAATTGATTGAAATTTAACCTGCCTCGAGGCACTGCGCACTTCAAGCTCTATTTGATTTTGGGGCAAGGCAAGCAAAGCCTCAACCAACCCAATTTTCCCATCTCGAGACTCAATAACCGACATAGGTCACGTTGTCGGTTGTTGTAAGTTCCTGGAATTGCAACCCATAGTCCAGCATGAATCGTAGGGAAAGAAGCACTTTCACGATAGCTGCCTTTGTATGCGTATGCAACAAGCCATGGGAAGGGAAAAGAGCAACGTCTCGATGTATCTTTGGTCATCACAGTCGCCTAATGTACATTATCTAGAATTGGCAAGTGTCTTCAGCAGTAGTAAGCATCGCTTACGCAGACTTGCGCTCAAAGTAAGTCCACTGGCCCTCAACAGGCTTCTCCTCAAGGTCCTCCCATCTGATTATGGCTGTTAGCAGGGTCGGGAGGAAATGAATGAGAGAGGAAAGAACGTACACCTTGGCCTGAGTCATCACATCCACGAGCTTCAGCTCGCCCTCGGCAACCTGGATGACCTCCTCAATGAGGCCAGCTCCGATCTTGGTCTCCAACTCGGAAATCCTACAACATGTCAGTATAAGCCCCCCTTCCCTATTGCTACCAAAACCGTCTCGATGTGAGTGTCCTGCCACGGGAAAACACAAAAACATACTGGTCGGCCGTCAATTGCGGCTCCGCCTCCCACTGCACCTTGGCAACATCGTTCAGGTCCTTGCGGTCGGCGAGAAGCTGGTGGTCCTTTCGCTCGGCCTCGCTACGGGGGCCCTCCAGGGTACCGCCCTCGTCCTTCTCGCCGTCCCACTCCTCGTAGCGGACGTCCTGTTCCTCGTGCTGGGTCGCGACGACAAACGTCCTGCCGCCGAGCTTCACCGTCCGCGCGCCGCTGCCGTCGACGCGGCCGCTGACGAGGCGGAACTGTTCGGGCTTCTCCTTGACGATCTGCTCGGCTCTCTTCTCCCACTCGGGGTATCCAGGCGGTACCGTCGCTTCGACGAGGCTGAGGCGGTGCTTCGTGATGGCTTCGACCGATTGGCGGTAGAGGGAGGACTCGGGGACCGTCTGGAGCTTCTCGAGGGTGGTACCGTACAGGTAGAGCAGCGTCGACCGCGGGCTGTTGTGCGTCCAGAGGCCGGTGAGACCTGTCGGGGTGCCGGCTTCGAGATAGCGAGCAGGCTTGACGCCCGCGAGCAGGCGAAATGTTCTCCGCATGGTTGCGATATCAATTGGCTCGAATTGGAGATCGCAGGTTTCGTTGAGATGAGCTATGGAGCGCAAGGTCGGCAGCACTGGGGGATGTAGTGTCGCTTGGATTTCATTGACCAGTAGATTTCCTTACATAAGTCAGCACTCTTCAGTCACGTGACTCTGGTCTGTCATTTAGACACTCTCGGAGGTGCAAATGTGCATCGCTTTTTGATAGCATTTATTTCATTCCAATACATGCATTTTACAAGCTTAGGAACCTCGGCCGCATTCTATATCCTATGCTCCACTTGAGATTTTGAGTGAAGTGGTGACGGCATTTTGTGAACCGAATATTGGCATTCGCATAACGCTCCACTGATGATGCACTACTGATATCACGACCAACGAGAGACTCTCTCGACATGAACATACGATAGTTAGGCATGTAGGCCGGCACTGGGTCGATAAAACGGACAAGCTATTTGAATTTTGTGCCAAACCGTACTGCCAGTTGCAATTGCTGGTAGTCGTTCGGAACTCGTCAAACATGAAAACAACTCTATATTCAGAAGTCGTAAAATCAACCTTGAACGACGCAATCAGGACGCTCTCACACCCTACCATGGGAATCTCGGGCGTCGATAATGGATCGAAGTAGTCCTTAAAGCCACACATGGCTCAAGTAGAAACAAGTTGTCTCTCAACGATGCATGGTGCGTAACATACGCGGCCCCAGCCACACCGGCTGCAACGAAAGCAATCGGGCTTCCCCCAACCCTCAGGCACATCAACCCGCGGAATGCTGGCAGTTCGCTACACATCAACCGAATCTAGGCATGATGAAGCTGAGATACTGCAAAGGCGGCGGCGATCAAGAAAATAGGCGCTCACTTCCAGCCGCTTAAGAGGCGTTCTCACGGCTCTTGCGGTAGCTGGCCTGCAGCGAAAGGGCGTCAGCACGGATCGGTCTTCGTTATACTTCGTAGTTCGAGGCTCGACTAACCTCCTGCTCAACCTGCAGGCCATCGACAACCGGGGCGAGCTCGCTCAAGATCTCATAGGCCTTCTTGTGGTACTCGATCTGAGCAGCAATCAGGTCGGCGAGGTTGCGAAGGGGCTCAGGGGTATCCAGAACCTGTAAAGAGAGTTAGCAATCAACGATTTCGTGCAGGCAAAAAGTTCAGGTGTACGGACATTCTTCATGACACCAACGGCCTCCTCAGTCTGCGTGACAAAGTCGTCCTCGGCCTTCTCAATCTCCTCCTGGGCCTCAGGGCTCAGCTCCTGCGGCTGACCCTCGTCAGGACGAGTTGCGCCGGGGCCCATCTTCCAAGTGGTACCGTGGGCGCGGGCCTTGGCGGCATCGAGAGTCAAGCGGGACTTCTCGACGTTTTGGCGGGCGCGGGTAGCGAACTTGAGGTTGGTGTTCAAGGTGGTGTTCCAACCGGCAAGAAAGCGGCTCTGGATCTGAGCGTCCTGGGCCATGCGGGACTCGCCAACGCGCTCCATAGCCAAGGCATACTTCTCGAGCGCCGTAGCCAAGGGATCCTCGCCCGTACCGGTGTGCTGCTGGTGAAGGACCTGGCTGCTTGACAGACTGGCCCGGGCAATGGCATGGTTGAAGGTCTTGGGCTGAGGCTTCGCCGAAGGAGGAGCGGTCAAGGCTGCCTGGGCCTCGGCCGGGGAACCAGCGGACGAAAGAAGAGTAACCTTCTCGCTGACGGTGCGACCGAGATCTTGGAAGGTCTCCTTGATGTTGGGCGGGTAATCGTAGGCCTCGTTCGAGTATTGCGAGCTTCGGGTCATCGGTGTTAGTGGTCGGTTTTCGACCTATGGGGCCTCTCCATCGAGAACTCACGTCACAGCCAGCATCTTCTGATGGACCTGCTTGAGGGCATCGACGCGCTTCTCGAGATCAATATAGTCGGGAGGAAGCTGGGTCTATGGGGGACGAGGCGATTAGCTCTTGCTTGATTGAATAACTGATCAGATTAGCGCAAAGAAATCGAAGTACCTTGTCCTCGGCCTGGCCAAGCTGCTCCTTGGTGTACTGGAAAGTACGGGAAGCGAAAGGGGTGATCGAGGACCCAAAGGAACTGCATTGTTGGAAATTCGTCAGCCTGGATACAGCAATCGCGACCGCTGACATGAAGGGCATGCGACAACGCACGTGAAGCTTTTGCCGATGTTCTTGAAATCCATCTTGGCGGTGGTTTGATAGGACAAATTTAGGTGGGAAAAGAAAGCAACTCGATCGCTGCGGGAAAGTCGGCACTGACGATAGTGCCTGTTGAACGGGTTGAGGTGGGTTGTAGATGCGGGAGTTCTGCCTCGTGCCTGCCTGCGACCTGAAGCAAGATAGACAGGTATCCAGTATGTTAAATTGGCTGCACAGCAACCTCCAGCATGCTGTCACAAGCTACCCAGGGGCAGCTGGCCAGGTGGATCAGTCAAGCAGGGAGTGGGCGGCGCACACTAGCGCACGTGATTTATGGAACACAGTTCGGTACGTACTGGGTCCTACGCATCTTTGGATGGCACTGTTGTGAGTCTCCTCGTAGCTGGTGGATGCGTCCCTGCCTTCCCTTACCTTACTCAGAGATACCCAGGAGCAGTTTGTCATGCAGATTCTAGCTGGGTAGGTTCTTGGTCCCAGGTGGAAACTATAGGCCTTACTTATATGCACCTTTCCTTCGTCGTACTTTCAAAGAATAGCTAGGTACCTTGCTTGATGACCCTCCTTCAACTAAGTCCCACAAGTAAGCCAGTGGCGTCGACGGATAGACATTCACAATGGCTCAGCTAAGAATATTCATGTGTGACACGCATAGAATTAATGTTGATCTCGATTTTTGATTTCTTTTGTTATGCATTTGGCTTCATTTGACCCCCATCCCCCATTCCAATGATAATACTGCCACAGGGAACTCCTCTTCAGCTCTTCAGAGCCACTCCTAGAAGACTTAGTCGGGCGGCTTTGTGTCTGCCCAAGATGGTTCAATGTAACGACAAACGTTCTCGTAATCCAATAGCTTCGGGTCGCTCAGCGGGAGATGTGGCGTTGTCCAGAACATGGTCCAGTTGGTGTCCTTGAGTTTCCATGTACCCAAAGATCTCTCAAAATACCACTTATTGACGGGGTTGTCCTGTCGGCTACGCCAACAGACGCCTTCTGGGAAGCAGCCTCTGACCATGGCGTTGAAAACCACATCTGCAACTCCACCACTTCCCTGGCGGCTCTTAAGAACCGCAAACTTATCCAAGTACGGAACCAGTCGACCGGTCTTATACGCAGTCTCTTCATCCAGTCCAAAAGGCTTCTCCCAGGTCAGGATTGCTCCACCCTCGTACTCTCCTGCAATGATGATACCGGCCAAGTTCTCGTTGACACGCTCCAGGTAGTGTTCGACGTCCAATTCCCGGTTGAAGGAGTCGTTAATGAGATTGACTAGTCGTGGCATGTCTATACAGGTGTCTGTGAGCCTCAAGCGAGGGCCACCCGGTCGTGGTGGCACCCAGGCACTGATTGTGGGATCAGGATAGACTGTAAGCGGCATGCCGCGTTTGACCAAAGTTGCCACATGGGTCTCGCCGGACGCCATATCACCCTTCTTCCCAGAGCGGACTCGGTCGAGCGGTAGTGATGATGAAAATACTGGCTTGTCTGTCAGGAGGTTGTGAATCAGAGGGTTTTGCCGATTACGTGTCGTGACGCTTGTGAACTGCTGGATCGGCTTGTTTGCTGCAGCAGACGGAGTGCTGATTATGGCAGAAGAAGTCGAGGGCAACATCGCAAGCACCTTCTTTGAAAGGTCGAGGTTCCGGGCGTGGAGCTGGCGCACACTCTCGGAGTATTTACCTCGCCGTGCTTCTGATCCTGTAGGGTGCGTGAGGCCATACATGATGCCCTCAAATTCCTGGTCCAAGTTGATATATCGATGACACGAATCATCATATGCATCCGACAGAGGTGTGCCTCCAGCTGGGTCCAGGATGATGACCTTTTCGACTGAGGCAACCTTGGCGCCAGGGCTGAGACTGGAGTCAGGCGCTCCAACGGGGCTTTCAGAGGCGTTGAACTGAAAACCACAGAAAAACTTGGTCAGAGCAATTATGGTTTCGTCAGCGTCCACCACGTCGATGCTCTTCATGTTGTGTGCCATGGTGACTGGAGGTACTACAACAATCGCATTGTCTCGCAGAGCTCGCAGCAGAAGGTGCGGGTGTTGGATATAAACACCCGAAGGCATGAATCCCTTCGTTTGCGCTGTCTGCGACTCAGCCTCGGCAATGCACTGATCGAGCAGAATGCTCCCTGGCTCGCCAAACGTCTCAATGGCTTGCTGGACTCTCCATGACTGCTCCCGAAGAAGCTTTCGGGACGATATTTGTCCTCCATCGAGGACAATAAGGCTCACGAGTCCCAGTTTCCTAAGTTGGGTCAGGGTTTTGGCGATAGCACTCAACATCTCATCGTCAACATCCTGGGGAAGGCGTATCTTGACAATTGCCAAGTTGATGGGTTCACCTTCAGGGATGGCGGTTTCGGCCTTAAACTCAGTGCCTTGGATGAATTTTGGCGCCTGATTGATGACTCGAACGGATGAATAAGTCTGGTCAGGTCCCTCTTGCGACTTGGAAACTTTGCCCTTCTTGAATCCATCCTCGCCGGACTGAGGGGCATATTTTTGAAGGTAGCCTTTGGCATCACGACGAGTGGCCGAGGCCTCTAAGACTGATACAATAAAGTCCTGCAGCTCATGTCAGAGATTGAAAGAAGAAACGGAGCAGGAGTTCAATAAGTACTCTGTCTTCAGCTCGTTGCCTCTCGCGGGCCTGGTTGCTGGATGAGTGGCGGACTGCTGAAAGGGCACTTTGCAAGGCTTCTTCTTGGCGCGTGCCTCCTAACCGCGGGCGATGGTAAAGTCTGCAATTGGGCGGGCTGTAAGAGTCGAGGGCGAACGGTGCCTAATATGAAGCTTGTAAGGCCTGGGCACGACGACTTGAAGACGTGATGAAATCAAGAGTTTGAACGCATACCCTTGCAACCAGGTTGCTTGCTTGCTTCAACGCTGGAGACCGCATCTTACCGATAACGGCGAGAAGTGTAGGGCATGCCGGTGATGTGCTTCGTTGGCCTACAGTGGCAATATGATGAGCGAATAGAAGGCGAGGCGGTTTGATGTTCGATAGTGAGTCCGGACGAACACAGTCCTGTTGTTCCTTCGTGAAAGGTATAAGCAAGAGCAGATATAATATTGGAGCAAGTGAAGGCAAAAAAAGAAGCTGGTGTCTGTGATCAAGTCACCAGCCGATTAGAGACAGCGTAATAGCAGCGTCGTGAGAGACAGGAGGGTCAAAGCAGATCCATCCCTTCAGATAGCCATGCTACTGACTGCCGAATCGTCCTTGGGATCTGTCTGCGCACTGAATCGCGCCTGTTTGAATGAAGTTGCAGGAGCAAAGTCGGGCAGAGTTTAAGAGTCGGTGACGAAGGGAAAGGGACCTTGGCTTAGGCCGGGAGAGCACGAACTGCAACCCGCCCTGTCCCCCGACCGAGAAATTCCCACTTTGTGAGTCAAGGTGACCTACCAAAGGGCGTACTGATAAGACGATAAGAACAGATACGTCTCCATCATGGGGACCGCCATCGGCGACCGTCAAGTATTACCGTAGCACCGAGGCGAGCTGTCGGACAAGCAGACGAGGTAAGAGAAGACAAATCACCAATCGAAAAAAAACCTCAACAATTGTGCGCGGTTCATCTCTTACCGCGCGCTGCCGATGCCATTGCTTACATGTTGAGAAAAATGGCTCGCATGTGACGAGGGGCAAAGAAAGTACCTCATGAGCGGCAACTTCGCACGACTTACACCAGCGGCCGTCAACCAAAAAAGGTACAGGTATTCTAGTATAATACGGAGTAGGACTCTCACTGCTTGGCGCCCAAAGGCACAACAGCGAGGACGGGAACAGCCGTAGATGCACACTAATCGACCGGACTGCCTTGCTCAACTCCGCATACGCTCCCGCCGTCTGAGCTCCGTTGGCGTGGGAAAAAAAGATCCTGAATATGTTGTAAAGCGTACTATGCAGTGGAGCAAAGTTGCAAGCTCGTTGGTTGATCATTCGTTTTCAACTGCTATTAAGACACCCTTGAATAGGACTAAGTGACTTGACAACCCGTCTTACCTGGCCTTGGTTGATACTGACAAATTACCGTTCCATTAACCTCCAGATGCTCTTGTCTATTCACTACCTTCCATTATGCTAGTCAATTCCTTAGCCCCTGCCATTGTTTGTCCCAAGTTACCGATGAAAGTGCCGCTGTGGTCTCTATATTGAACCGAAGCAACCCCGCTCGGGGAAAGCCGTTGTCGTCACCTCGCTCTTCAAACTCAACTGACCGAGACCCTGAGGGGCTTCCCGGCATGTCAATGCCGCCGCTTACATGTCACCAACTGCATTGAACTTCTCTTGTATTGCATTCTCACTATTGACACACTACTCTCTTAACTTCTTGTGTTCCACTGAAGTTTACAATTGCATAATTCTTTTTCAACCTCATCTACTAATAGCCATCCTTGTCAACGACAGTCATCCTCAAAACACCACACTTCACAATGGCTCAGACACTCCTTTGGATCGGCCTCGGCAACATCGGCAGGGTGAGTCGTCCCCGGAGTTTTGAGACGCAAAACCCCGTTCCGATTGTGATATGCGAGCTCACCAGCTCAGGGTATGTGTAAAAACATTGCGGAAAAGTCCAAACTTGACAAACCACTCCTCATCTACAACCGCACCACCAAGCGGGCCACGGAACTGAGCCAGAGCCTGCCTGCCGGTAAGACTCAGGTCGTCGAGTCGCTCGGAGACGCCATCGCGCAGGCCGACATCATCTTCACATGTGTCGCCAACGACCAGGCAGTGGAAGAGATATTCGCAACCGCATCCCAGCAGAAACTTGAGGGCAAAGTCTTTGTCGAGTGCTCAACCATCGCTCCCGGCGCTTCAGAAGCGGCCGCGAAGGCGGTGCTGGACAAGGGCGCCGAGTTCATCTGCGCGCCCGTGTTTGGAGCACCGGCCATGGTAGCAGCTGGCAACGCGACCTTGGTGCTTGCCGGGCCCAAGGCCTCGATCGAGAAGATCCGGCCCTATATCGATGCCATGGTGGCTCGCGAGATTAACATGGCTGACGAGCCGTACCACAAGGCGTCGACGTTGAAGGTCCTGGGTAACACCGTCATCCTGGGCATGGTCGAGCAGCTCGCTGAGACCTATGTGGCTGCCGAGAAGAGCGGGCTCGGGACCGGTTACGTGAAGCAATTTGTCGACGCCATGTTCGGTGGCAGCCCTTATCCTGCGTACTCGGTGCGCATGTTGGAGGGTGACTATTACAAGAGGGAGGAACCGCTCTTCGCCGTCGATTTGGCGAGGAAAGACGCCGGGCACGCCATGGCTATTGCCAAAGCCGCAGGGACACGGCTGCCAAATATTGAAAACGCCGATAAGCACCTACAGATTGTTAAGGAGCACGTAGGACCATCAGGTGATATGGCCGGCATCTACGGCGCCGTAAGGAAGGAAGCTGGCCTCAAGTACGAGAATGACTCTTGAGCAAGGGCTCCCAATGCTAGAAACATGGCTCACAGGGCATCAGATGAAAGACTAATGCACAGCATGAAGCAATATGAAAAATGATAACAGAATATTGATTCTGATTTAGGTGCATGACGTGAAATAGAATGCGTATCCTACTCGATCCTCGAGTTACTTAAACAGTTTCGTGTTAGTGGATTTTATATAACAAGGTACCTAGCTTGGTTCTTGCCTCGCCCATAACAGATTCGCAGGCTGGAAGACCAGATGGGGAGACGGGAATGACTAAGCGCCAGCAACGGTCGAGCTGCCGGCTGGTGCACTGCACCGACAGCTGCACCCACAACTGACGTCCAGGACCTCCTACCTAGCTCAGCCTTCCCAACGACGACGACAGAAGCAATCGACGAAGCAGCACGACGACATCAACGCGACACCCGACATTCCTGCACATCCCCCAAAACTACACCCTATTCAGAATCGAGCAACAAAAATGGCGCAAGGGTTAGTTCACCCTCACAGATGCGAGCGTACTCCAGCGGCAGATGTGTGTTGACACGAGAAAACAATAGGTACAGCATCTTCGTCGGCCTCGTCATCGTCGTCGCGATGGGCGCTGGTGCATGGTTCTTGTCTCCCAAGGGCGATACCCAGATGTACGTTATCCCTCCACTCGAAGCGAAATGCCGCAATCGAATAATTACCATTGTTTGCGTCATTGCGACAGAGACACACGGCTGACCATTCATCTACAGCATCTGGAGATCCTCCCTCCTCCTTGCCCTCGCATGCTGCTACCTCATGTGGGCCATCACCTTCCTCGCCCAACTCCACCCCTTGATCGAACCCAAACGCAGCAACCTCCGAGAGAGCGCCGTGCACCATTAATGACTTGTTGTTCGAGGTGATGGTGGATCAGGCGAGAGCGACAGAAAGAGATGCAACGCCGAGGGTGCGATGTACTATTATCGATTTAACACAACTGCAACTTCATAAGGACGGCGTTAAGGGGCTTGTTAGGGTTCTGTCATATAGAACGAACGGCGCGTGACTGGTTGTTGAAGAGTGCCGCCTCGCATCTATAGCTCAAGATGCCGACGGACGATGCTAGTCCGGTGGCGATGAGGATTACTGATGGGCTGGGTAGGCACCTGAGATGGCAAGACGGCTAGTTATGCAACTTCAATTTACGCAATGCCGGCTGGTACATATTACACATGCATTTCCTTTGCCTGGCTTCTACAGCTATATACTACCTGTTACCCCGCGGCTAGATCACTTGCCCACTCTCTCACGTACATCAACAGAGCCCAGAGGGCTTTGCCATCTGCAGCAATGCTCGTCTCTCCGATAGAGTCCACTCCATCTAGCCCGGCAGCCCAGAGAACACTACGTCCCACTGTCCACCGGGCTAGAGCTCCCAGCGTGGCGAGCAAAGTGGCAACGCCGTACCCGCAATCCAGCAGAATACGAAGGGCCTCGACGTTGTTTGCTACGACGGCCCAGCCCAGCGACCGAGCCGCAGCTGGGACATCGTACTGCCATATGACCATGAGTATCGGAAATAGCTTGGTCGAAGACGAGACGAGGAGTGCGGTCGATACGGAGTTCGGACGCGAATATCGGGTTAAGATGTTGAAGAAGTTCAGCGGAGAGAACTTGGATGAAGTCAGGAAGCGAATGCTCATATGGAAGGCAAATGTCGACAAAGCGCAAAGGATGACTGCCGGAGCGTTAGTTTTTCCATTTGAAGCAGCCCTCGATATGCCCCATAGAACGTACGGAAGAAGAAGTATTGGGACACGATAGACTGCTGTGCCAAGCTGCCCAGGTTGGCGCCCTCGCCCCGAGCAGAGATGGGCACCGTCTGCTTCTCAATGCGCGCCCATGTCAAGTAGACGTCGAATAGAAGCAAAAGGATGCCGAGTCGTACGATGGATGACTGCGTAGGAAACACCGTCAGCGAGGATCTTGCAGATAGTACGTGGCACAAATCCCCCCATGACTTACATCAAAACGGTCGTCATCCTTCATTAAGGTATTGTGCAATAGATGACGATAGACCTGGGGTTTAATCAGGACGAGATCGATGAACAGCACCACGAAATCGTGCTCGACGTATTTGTCGCAAAAGTGGCCGCAATTTCTGCAAACCGTCAGGCGGATGTTGTGACCGCTCGACTTGTCATCAGCATTGGAGTATTTGGTCCATAGTGTCTTGACCGGATGGCGGCACTCGATACAAATCGGCATCGCAAGCTGGGGGGGTGGTCAGGGTCGAAAGACGTCGCAAAGGGATGGATCGTTCGGCATGAGTAAATGCTATATCGTTTGCTGCTCGCTACTGTGAATTGTTTGACGGTATGCGACTAATGATAATGCGATTGCAACGCGTAGCATGCATGGTCGTGGCCGTCTACACCGGAGCTCTCTGCGCTGCGCCAGAATCGGGATTCCAATCCAGCTTCGTTCTGCAATATGGGGGAAAAAAGAGGTACCTTTGGCGACCGCGAGCTCGCACAAAGTGTTTGAGTGGGGCCGCTGGGAGCCGGGCGGAACGTCGAGTCGGAGGAGTGGAAGTACCGTGCACGGTTCATGTCCTCAGCCGGCGGAGGGGCAAGACTTCAAGACTCCAAGAGGGACGAATTGATTACTACAGGTGGTGGGTGGCCGAGCCACGAACATGACTCTCCCAGGTCTCTCCAGTAATTAGGACTGGCAGTCATGTCCCTTTCCCCATTATCCGCCCCCACCACCGCTGGGAACTCATGTCCGTAAGCCGCTAACTCGGGACTTCTCAAACAGCCCAGGCCTCAAGCGAATTGGGGGATTGCAGGAATGCCACCTATTCGTCCCCACTGAAAGGACCGCTAATCATTTCAGTACATACGGATAGGACAGGGAGCCACAAGCAGTCCTCGGCGCCTAAGGTACCTTGAGCCACGAGGTTCGGAGGTAAGGTACCTTACCTTCCAGAGAGTTCTGAGTGCGTGATTGCGTCGTCTTTGGCGGCTGGCCAAGGGTCCCGTCCTTCCAAGTCCCTTGACAAACCCCCGGCCCACATCCCTCGACAGGCCCCAGTACAGCCCGCCGCCTCAGCACCTCAATAGAAGGACACTTAACCCAGTGGAGAGGTGCCCATACTCCCTACCCGTCCACAGTATCGCATACGCACATGCGGTTCGCTCCCGCTGCCACCACCCACGGTCGCCATCCTACCACCGCTTCCCGTCTCCTGATGCTTGTCACTGCTTGCTTCCCATGCTGGCTGCTACTGCATACGCTAAAGAAAAGGTACACCACCACGGTTCCAATTGTCCATCCATTCGGCCATCATACATCACTTCCATCCATTCATTCCTCAACCAACCAACGGCTACTACACCTGCTCCTCCCTTGGCCTCAGCTGTCCTTCCCTTCGAGATACACGCGAGAGCGACACTCTGACGTCCCCTGTGAACTTAATCCGCCTTGACCGAAACACATACTTTATCGCCCGCTCCTTCGACCTCCCTACCGCTTTCAACCTTCTGTGCTTCCTACTCCGAAGTCGCCCACGGCGCTGCCGAACCAGATCGCATATTACCGTCTTCCAAGCGACCGAATCCTGTCGATGATCGAAGGCACGCGCTGATGCCCTCCCTTTCAACTGCCTACCACCCAAGCGACGAGGTGGGCGGCCTTGCTCCATCATGGCAGATTCCCTAAACCCGGCTGGGTCGACATCACACATGTCTTCTTCGGCCCTCATGCCAGCACGTCATGATGCCGAAGCCCGCCCACGCAACCGGCGCCTCATCAGCACGGTAGAGGACACCTCCACCGGCGGAGGCCCCTTGGATAAGCTGTCGGCTTCCTTTTCTGCCTTGCGTTCACCAAGCCGTGAGCCAAGCCCCATGCCTTCCAGCCACTTATCCCGCGATGCCTCCAAGTCCGGTGCACGAAGTGCATCTTCCGCCGCCCGTCGAAACAACACCGCACCAAACTCGGCCAGTTTCCTCGATACCACATGGTCGCAAGGCTGGGCTTCTATCCAAGGGCTTGCTTCTTCCATCTTGTCTGGTGGAAGTGTCCACGATGCGGGCTACGAGTCAGATCACAGGGAAGGGAGACGGACGAACATCAATCCTTTGAAAAGAGACTACTCTACCCCGCCACGAAAGGCTCCCAAAGACTGGGGTCCAGCGCCGCCCCCCAATAGTAGGCCTGCGCAGAGAGACATTGCGGCAGGCTCTCTCGCAGAAAGAGATGCTGCCCTCAAGGCAGCCCGGACAGCAAGCGTTTTGGAAAGTCACGACGGAGTTAACGGTGGCCTCGATGTGTCGGGCAAGTACAAGAAGAGAAACTCGGACGAAATCGCCAGGGACGCACCACAGGAAGAAGAGGTCCAAGACCAACTGGTGTATATACACCATGTGCAACCAACTGACACCTATGCCGGCATAGTGCTCAAGTACAGGTGCCGCGAAGACGCATTCAGAAAGGCAAACGGCCTGTGGTCTAGAGACATACTGGTGCGCAAGTGGCTTGCCATACCAGTAGATGCATGCGAAGTCAAGGGCCGCCCTTGCGAGCCGCCCTCGCATGAGGGGCAGAATGTCGACTTGCTCGCCCCAACACCGGAACCTCGAAGCGCTCATGGATGGGGTAAGCAGGCCTCGGCACAACCACAACAAGTCGACTTTTTCAGCCTGCCTACTCAGAACGGGTCGTCGTCTCGACTCTCCAACAACGAAGACCAAGAAGAGCCTCCTTGGTCTCACGTTCGATGGGTTACACTGGACTCTGTTCCAAAACCAGTTGAGATCGCCCGCGTGTCGAGCAAAACGATTGGGTACTTCCCTCCACGACGGAAGAAGAGCCTCCGAAGCACCTCAAGCATATCGACGCCGAGACACTCTCTCGATGCCGCGGCTATAACAGCTGGGCTTACAGAAAGTCCAGAGCAAGTCGGTAGGCCATCGTCGCGACGCCAGAGCAACTTGAGCAGTCGGCCAAACCTACCCGGCACTCCAGGGCGATCGACTCCGGCATCATCGAGAAGCAGGATGGGCAGTGATGCAGGCGATACCCGGCCAGCATGGATGAGGAGGCCCGGAGGCGTAGGCTCGTTGGGGCGAAGTGTACGAGCACCTGGACCGGAGAAAGATTACTTAAACTCTTGGGCGAAGAAGCACCTTCCCGGTATCGCCATCGACGAGTCTCTGCCATCGATTTCCGTAATGGGATCCGAGACTGCAAACTTTGGATTTCGGCCGGGTTCCAGCAGCGGCATTGTAGAAAGTCCTTTCGATGAGGGACAGGATCTATCAGCGACATCTCGACAAGGCTCTGGCTTAGACCGCGCAGCAGCATCAGTGGAGACATGGCTTCGAGGCGCGTTTGCAAAGTCTCCGGGCACGCCTACCTTGGGATCCCGAAGCCGTCAGCCAGATGATTTGGACCTCATCGAGTTGACTGATACAAACAGTGACGATGGAAGGTTGCCCATGCCCGCAACCAGCGGCGGAGTGATCAGCACAGGTTTGCTTGACGCTGCGCCTATGACGATTGGCTCCAGTGGGAGGAGCGATGGAGAGGGGTCCGTCTTGAGACGAGGCTTGAGCAACACTGGAGCAGCAGCAAAGGGCAAAAAGTCGGACTGAGCTTGCCCATAGTTGATTTGCAGTTGCTATTGAAATGGGAAGAGTCTGGAACTAGGGACTACAGATGGTTGCTCTCTGTGCTCCTCGAACAAAGCCTCGGTGGGAACACCTCGTGATCCAGATCCATAAAGAAGACCCCAACGGTCTGGGTGCAGGGGCGATATGTAGAGGTGTCGGGACTCATGTTGAAGTGATTGCGCATTATATAGGCGTTAGCGGGCATTGAGGGAAGGGCTGGCAGACAGACGGAGGGGTGTGGTGTGAAGTGAGTGTGCCGTTCAGGTTGTGCTTCCAGCCTCTGAGGTTCGCCACTTGTCTAACCCCCCTCCACCCCCTTTATCTTTGTTTACAACTTTTTATTTTCAAACATTAGACTTTGGGAGCAGTAGAAGATTGGGTTGTCAACCCAGGGTTTGGTTGGCGGGCAGGCAATCAAGGGGTTTGTTGACGAGAGGGTTCTTTCTGAAGCGAGGCGGAGGCGGGAGAAAGGGAAAAAGGACACAATTTTCTATCAGCTTCTAGAAACCACCTAGTCTTTGGCTACGCAATATCATTGACCCCCAGCCAGCGTTTCCAATACCGGTACTCTGGTCCTTGATTTCAAGGATCAAACTATAAATGCCTGTATATACTCAAGGGTGACTATGTGAGGATGTGTTCCAAACTCATATGGTTGACCAGGGCTGACTCGAATTCCAAAGGGTTCTCTTCGTGCCGGTTGGGAGAACGAAGCTGAGCATACCCAAGAAGCAAAACCTGGGGCTGAAGCCTCTTCATGGGCTAGTCGTATTATGTGGAAGCCCATTTTCTCTAATCAACGTGTCAAGAGGCATACGTAAACGTATCATGTCATCCCATCGCATCATATCACTTATGTCTTTTCAACTTTGAACCATCAACTTGTATTGAAGAATCGGTAGGCATTGATTGCTAAGGTCACTCGCCCAGGAATGTCCTGACTTTTCCTACACATGCTACTAAGTAAACACGAAGCTCCCGTGACGAGATGGTATCATTTGGCGATACATCCGCTATGCACCTTCCCGCCATGTGCAAGTCGTAAGTCAACTTTGATTGCAAATACGTTGGAGACGGCTGATGGAATATGCGCACAATCGCCCTACAAATTCGCCCTACTGGGGTCCTAACCCCAAATCGAGATTCATGCTAGCTAGGTCACCGTTATTGATACCAAAGAATTGGAACCTAGCACGATAATGTTAGCTCTCTGCGGCGTTCTCGGGAATCTACCATGGCGTCCACCTACCAATCTTCAACATTGAGCGTGTTTGGAACAGGTTGCCCTTGGGCTGATCCTGTACTCCAGCTGTCACTTGGGCTTTGTCCATCCGGCATCAAGCCGTCGAAATTCGCTGTCCAGAGATTGCTGTTGAGGCTGTTATTGTTGTTGGAGCTCTGCCCTTGCCCCTGTGCCTGTTGCTGCTGCTGCGGTTGCTGCTGCTGGAAACCCTGCATGCCAGACCCCAGGACGTTCGCGCCTTGTTGAGGGCTTCCACTCAATCCTTGTTTGGTAGGGCCGCGTGCTTGGAATTGAGTGTTTTGTGCTGGTAGACCATGGGACGTGTTTTGATTATGCAGCTGCGCCATGAGGCCTGTATCTAAGCCATGGTGGTTCGGTGGCGGGGACATGTGCGGGAATGCAGGCATACTTGCGCTGTCTGGGAAAAGCTGGTCGGGTTGGAAGTTTTCCCACAAGGACTGAGAAATATTGGGCGAGTTACGTGTAACAAGATAGAGGTCTGGCGGTGTGGCCGGCACCGAGAATGAAGGGTTGAAGGGCGTCGCTGGTCTGGTCTGCGGCCTGGAGGAGGTTCCGCCCATGAACGTATCTGCGTTCTGTCTCGCATTGGGTGATGTGATCGGAGGCGGCATCGTCTGCTGATTTGGACCTCCGTCGCCCTTCATATGGCTAGGGGTCTGCGGGCGTGATCTTTCGTAAGACTCTTGAGGTGTTGGAGTATTGACGCTGAAGTCGATCGCCATGTCATCGTACTTCCTCTTGGCAACGTCCTGCGGCCGCTGTTGCTGCTCCAGCTGTGCCAACGCCTGTTGTGCTTTCCTGTGCCTCTTTCCCGCAGCCTTCTGCAGCCGTTCCTCGAGCACTTTGTTTCCTATGATGGACTCAAATAAGGTATACACCATCTTTCCTACCAGCCAAACTCGCGACACTTCCTTGAGGGCCTGCATGCATGTTCGTAACCTGTCCTGGGTTACCTGCTGAATCGATGGGACCGGCGACCGCATTTGGTAGACGTGCATGATCAGGGCCGAAAACAAGCTGTACACAACAAATGCCGGACAGAATCGAAGTTCGCCATGAGCTGCCAAGTTTTCGATGATAGAGGTGATCATAGCCGCGGCTTGGAACGCAATGTTTCGTGAAGGATATGGAGAATCGTCAGGGAAACGACTGCCTCCATTTGGCGGCATGTGAGCTCTGTGTAAGAGGCACAGTGTCGTGTAGTAATTCGAGTGTAGCAGGGCTGACCAAAAGTGGTGCCGAGCAACCTCCCAGTACACGATCTTTGGGCAATTTTGGAGCCAATCGGCGAGAGCCATATCGCTATGGGTCAAATCGATGGCGTTTCTCTGTCGTCCTTTGGAGGCTACCGAGTACTGCTGAGACAGCACCAGGCCCATGATTTCGCAAAGCTTGACGTACTGCATGAAGAACTGCACGTGTATGGGATCTGGAGGGTACTCGCTATTACGGTCGCCATCATCCTCGATAAAGTCATCCTCAGTGAGCATCTCGACGTCGGAGTCGTCGAGGTTGATGTGGACTGGTCGGCCGAGAGCAACTGCAACAGACCTGTCTCGTGTAAAGAGAGTCCACCAGATTCGTTTCCACAGCCTCTTGTCGGAGCGGCTGAGTTGTGACTGCTCAACACTTCGATGCATTCCAGAACCCTGAGCGACGATAGTGGCGACTCGACTCCAATAAAACACGTTCTTGGTGACATCTTCAGGGCCTTCCCAGTACCACCCCATCAACAATAATGACTGCACAATGGTAACCCGATCGTCTTCGTAATTGGCATCGTAGAGCGCCTTTGCCCTTTTGTAGAAGGTCAGGGCAGCGGGCGTCGTCGAACCATTGGCATCCATCAGCTGTGGGTTCGTGCAGACTCTTGAGCCGGCCAGCAGCACAGCCTGCAGTAATAAAAGAGACGGCGGGTTCTTGGGATCGCGGTACTGTCGCATGAAGCGGGTACGGTTGATGACCGGAACGATCGGATGGATCCATTTGAAGTAGGAGTCGATAAGCTCATCGCATAAAGATCTAGGCGGTAGAAGGAAGGCGCCGCGTTGGTGAAGGATATCGATTTCGACGTTGTCCAGCTCGGTCAATCGGGCCCTGGAACCCCTCACATTTTCGGGTAAAGGATAGTGCACTACGTCTGACGAGCCTTGTCGATCGTGTACAAGCAACGTCAAATTGGAAGACTCTCCAAGATACGCGACCCTACCAGCATCCGTTATAGGGGCTCTGGTGAACTTTGGTTTCATCACCAGGTTGAGATAAGTACCACTATCGACTTCCTCCTTTCGGGCTTGCGACTCGGTATAGGTGGACGACGGCGTGCCATCTGTGGTGTGATAGACAGCAGGAGTCCGCGGCGGGAAGGTCCCAGGTCCTGGCGCAGGAACACTGGGAGCTCTCGGTGAACGCTCTTCGGCATTATCTCCTTTCTCGCTGGAGCACACCTCAGTTAGCCCATGACTGGGAGCATGTGGAAACGGCGAAGCTGAGGCAGACCTGTCCGAGTCCTTGTTCGTTCCGGCATTCGTAGTCTTCTTCCGCTTTGGAGTCGGAATGCGACATTCTATTTGGAAGGCTACGCAGTTTGTGCAGGGCACACCGAGACTCGCGGCATCGCATCGTACCTAGACAAAGATGTTAGACGAAAAGGTTTGGCGAAAAGTGTCGATCGGAGGAGGGGTTAGGTGAAATTCGGTTGTGGGTAGGAATCGGCCGACTCGGAAGCCCAATCGCCCACAAGAAAAAGGACACTCAAGTAGAAAAGAAGGCTATTCGTACCTTGCGGGCGTGACATGTCTGTACAATACAAGGTTAGCTTTAATTCAGATAAAGGAAGGCCGACGAGATGTGGGCGTGAGATCTCGCAGGGCAGCATTGCACCAGTAGAGCGCAACGCAGCGCCGCGGCGCGAGTAGCGATGCCTCGGCACAAAGTGGGCAGAGGGGCCACGGAATGGCGGGCGCGACAAAACAATAAGGTGTGAGACTACGTACCTCGCAAGCTCTAGAAGCTCGTTGCCTATTCGAATCAAAGAATATATTAGCACACAGGTTACATCCGCCATTGATTGGAAGATGGCTATTGAAAGAATTTGACGGGATTCGGGTCGATGGTGAGGGACGAACCTGCGAAAACTCAAGTGGTTCGCGGCGGCCGCGGCCGCGGCGGCAGCAGCAGCAGCAGAGCTACCTTGAGCGTTGGGACTCGCACCAGCTGGATTGGTAGAGGTTCCTGGGGCCTGTGATGGCGACTCTGATTTTTGTGGTGATTGTTGCTGGTTAAGCTGCTGCTGCTGCTGTTGCTGCTGCTGAGCCGAAAGGTCGGTCGACGACATATCGACATCCATGGGCGACCGTGAAGCGTGAGCTGCGACGGAGTCGTGAGGGTAATGGTGAAGAGGTTCGTCGACGAATTTCTCGGGTCGACTAGTAATGGGAGGAGGGCCAGTGGGAGGGAACAGGTGTGGCAGCGGCCGAGTCACTGGCTCTGGTGGCCCAGGCGCAACAACGTCTGGCTCTGGCGCAGGCTCTGGATGTGTTTGTGCTGGTGGTGCTGGTGTTGGTGGTGTTGGTGGTGCTGGGACTGAGACTGAGACTGGGATGGACGGAGGCAGCGGAGCCTGGTGATTATGGTGGTGGTGGTGGTGGCTGGCCTGGCCGGCTGGGTACGGGGAGTGGGCGTGGTGTTGGTGTTGGAGGTAGTGGCCCTGCTGCTGCTGACGCTGGTAAGGCTTCTGGTACTTCTTCTGGTGCTTCTGATGTGTGCGAGGATTGTTCAGGTGGCGTGGGTGCGGGTGCGTGTGCGGGTGCGGATGCGGATGCGGGTGGAGGGGGGGTGAGGTCAGCGAGAACAAGGAGTGGTGGGAGTGGGGGTGGGCAAATGGTGTTTCCCCTGATGCTGATGCGGGTGCTGGTGCTGGTGCTGGCGCCGGTGCTGATGCTGATGGGAAGAGGATGGGCCTGCGGGACGAGGAACTGGGGGCGGTGGAGCTGCTAGTGCCGGAGCTGCTGGGGCTGGAGATTGATGAGATGGAATTCGGAAAATGCACTTCTGCCGAATGTCCTGCGACTCCTGATGATGATGCTCCTGTCGCTCTTCTACTTGCTGATGTTGTCGCTGGTATTGTGGATGATGCCAAAAGAGAAAAAGATGGGTCAATAGTAGGTCCGGAACCTAACACAGGTTGAGGTCCGGGAAGGTGCAATCCAAACGTGGGGACCTCTACAAGTCTTGCCTCTCTTCTTCCTTCTTCCTCTTCTCTTCCTCCTGCACTGCAGCTTATATCCGTTGATGTACCCGTATCAAACAGCAACTGATGTTGCCCCGTCCGTTCTTCTCTTTCTTCTTCTTGTCTCTGCTGCGACTGATGGAATGGGAAGAGCACTGACGTTAGATTGGGTTCGCTTTGTTGCCGCAGACCGGCAATCGCGTTGTAATTGTTCTCTGTCACAATCCCAGATTCGGCCGCGTCAACATGAGCCGCTGGAAGGTCAATGTCACCGTCGATGCCGAGGTCAAGGCTGAAGGTCAAGTTCAAGTCCAGGTCGCGGCTGACGTGATGGTCGAGGCTGTGCTTTCGAACCTCACTGTCGGTTTCTTTGCCCAATTCTGGAAACCCGGTATCTCGTTTTGTCTCTTCTTCAAATCCAAAGTAGTTTTGCTGTGATAGTTGTGCGTTTCGATGGTAAAGTTGATCGGTTTCTTGTTGTTGTTGTTGCTGCTGCTGCTGCTGCTCCAATAGCACTACTCCTGGGAACTCAATGTCGCCGTCCTCTTCAAGATTCGGCACACTTGGCCACTGGAGCACAGCCATCCAAATTTGGCCTCAGGAGATGAGTGACCTCCTGACCTTTGTGAGGATGTTGGTACTTTGTCTGGCGTGTCTTGCTGTCGTATAACTCGGGCAATAAGCTGCCGTGTACAACGGTCAGTACTTTATCGTGTTGTGTCTTTGCGCAAGAAAGGATCTCATCTGCCTGCCCAGACTCTCAACTGCTTTGCAGAAAGAAAGGGACATGGAGAAAGAAGAACGAAGATAAATGGTTATGCAGTTCAACAACCAACACAACCACCGCCAAGGGCGACTCTGGATGGGTCGCGTACCTTTCAAGTAAACTAAAACAACATGACATACCAAGAACGATATCCCTACAGAGCTGGAGTTGCTGTCATGTACGTTGGTCTAGAACCCTGTTTTCCTACTCAGATACCCTGCTGTCGTTTTTGTTCTCTTCTTTTCTTTCAACGCTGCTGAGGTAGATTTCTTGGTCTGAAGATCGGACAGAGTTGTCGCCTGTAGGTTTGAAGCTCGGCCGATGACGGGATATAATAGATCGGGGAATCAGAAACCCAACCAAGTCGTGTCGCGCCCAGATTCCCGCTGCATCTGCCGGTTTGCCGCTGCTCGGGTTCCTTGTTGAGCAAAGACCCCTCTTCACATTACTGGTCTGTTCACCAGCAAGGACCGAAAAGGCAAACAGCTTTAGCTTCACAGCATAGAGCCTTTGGCGTTTCTATCGCTTGCTATCGTCTAGCTTCCAGGTTCAACGTTGTAGGCGACCCACTGTTGTGGTATGTGGTGATGCGCTGCTCTCTTTTCTCAACGTTGACTCGCTACTTTCTCGACATCTCGCAATCGGCTCCCGTGTAAGTAAGGCAAACTTGTCTGCCCTTGTCCCGGGACGATCTGCCTTGTGTCCGTATCACAAGACGAGAGTTGTAAGGCTAGGCAGGTATCACGGAGGGAGGTCCGGCTAGTCGCCTGGTCCCAGCTTCGTTTTCTCAAATATCGGATCCAGTTATGGCTCGACGTGTTCCCACTTTGAAGACCGCAGCGGAGGCAAAACAGGCGTTATCTTGCGTTTCTTTCCTTGGTAACCTGCGGCTATGCTTGCTTTTGAGGCTTGGGTGTTTTACTCCCAGACAAGATACGCGTGAATGGAGCGAGCCATCTTTCTATTATAGACATCGGAGATGATAACTGGAGTCTGGAAGAAAGGATCCGGCTCCTCGAGCTAACACCAATACCAAGTCCCCAGGTACATCGCATGAAAAGAACCACACCGTCTCCGTCCTTACTTTAGCATGTAGTTTCTGCGTGACCAGTGACCAGTGTGCAGTGTCGAGTGCCAGGTTTCGCCTCTGCCGCCGCCACTGGTTTAGCTTGATGTTCTCCTTGGCCGTTGACGCCGAGACTACGGTCTCGTGGGTAAGTGTGGCAGCCTCGACGGAGTGTGTACCCAAGGCCGGTGGAATGGAGCGAGAGAGAAAGCCACAAACGTTTACGGGGCAAGCATGTGAGACTTTTCAAACGGTGCTATGCAGTGCTCGCAGGATCGCTGCCCCTCCCCCGCCAACGTCTTTCCTGGTCCCGGCTTCCGGCGAAGACGGATGATCGTGTGCCATGGCCCGCCCAGAGTCCGTATGTAGTATAGAATGCCTACGTAGTAGGGTACGCAGGGGTTAGAAAGTGAGGCAGCGGGACATGAAGCAGTGTTTGTTGCCGCAGGTGGCAGTCATTCAGAATCCAACCCACGCCACTGGTTGAACAGTCATGCGCCAACCCATGTTGGGAACGAAGGAGACTGAGGAGGTGAATCCACTCCTTCCGCTCCTCCCCGGCCATCCATTTCGAACCTGATTCTTTTAGCCCTCCTCGGACCGGATAGGCACGACGGTATGGGTGGTGGACGAGGGTGAGGGCGAGGGTGAGGCTGGGCGTAACCCGCTAGATCTGGGGTAAAAGAGATGGAATTGGCCGTGATGGACGGGGAATGGACTGCTAAGGGTGCGGGTTGCGGGATTGTGGTTGCAGAAGACACCCCGCCAGGCTCACGGCAAGGCAAGGGAAGGGAACCTGAGGGCCTGCAGGGGCCAGGCAACGGCGCAGGCGCGGGCCCGTAAAATTCTATACTACTGCGTAAATGCTAGGTACTCCGTATACTAAGGTAAGGTAAGGTAGGTATCAAGGTTGTAGCGTACGGAGGACTGCGGAAGGGGCGGGGTGCAGGCTGGGCGCGCGCGCAGATGCGGGTAAGGAGCAGGAACGGTGCGGTGCGGGCAGCGGTACGGTGATCAGTTGTTGGTGATGGGCTCCTGCTTATTCGCAGCTGCACGACTGGATACGTAGTAGAGCCTTCAAAGCAAGGTAAGTACGGATAGTGCCTGAAGGAATCGTAGGTAGTCGCGGTAAGGGTATGGATCGGGGGTGTGCTCCGAAACGGTGCTGGTCCGCGCATGTATTACCTCTTTAGGCAAGGACCACGCTTTGCTGTGTTCTCGACTCTTCAAAGTGGATTTCTTCTTTTGCTGCGCCCAGCAATGCTGAGGTGCCGAGAAAAAGCATATGATCACGACCTCGACTGCATGACCGCCCTGCTCTCTGTGCGTCTAGTGTCCATCACGCAGCGTCAGCATCTTCCACGTTTTTCTAAAGAGTGCCTTCCTTTGAACCATCCATCTTGTACATACATGGTCACTCAAAAGAGGGAAAAGGAAATCAGACAGAATCACATCTCGCCGGCCTCTTCCGGTTGCCGGGCAGCGTTTCCCTGGCCATGGCAAGGGTACCGGCGCACACGGCACCACCGCCACCAATACTACCACCATTACGGTTGTTAAAGATCCAGAACTGCCATGGCGATATGCTTAAGTGGTGGACTCGAGAGTTGGCGCGGCGCACGGCACTCCCCCGGGGTGGGAAGCACTGACGTTGCGACAGAAAGTTCATTAGTCTACAGACTGCGTACCTAGTCGAACTGCTCATGATGATTTCCGCGCGCGGAACCCGAGCAATAGATGGTACCAAGGTGACTGGGATACGAGCTGTACGGTTTTACCTAGTGTGCCGCCGGTGTACTTCTTTGGTGTGTGTCGTGTGTCTGTCTCCAAGCCTAGTAGACTGTGTAAGTGTCAAAGTGTGCCAATGTCTTGTAAGTGTTGCACAGTAAATGACAAATGATTCTGTCAAGATTGGGATTCTAGACGCCGCAAACTTTCCAGGCCGTTACTGCGTTGGTCTTGGGAACTTGGGATGACCGCGATCCACGATCGTCCGGAGGAACCACAACTGAATAGGTTCTGTATCCCCGCGCTGTTTACCAATTTGGCATGTTTGTTGGGTAATGCAGTTTCTTCCATTCGATATTGCTCCTCTAATTCTTCTTCCTCCACGAGCTGTTGCTTCTAGAGGTTGCCAGCTTGCATTGAATGCTTGGATATGTTCCCAACATAACTAGAGTTTCCTGGTTTTGTAGCATACTGTCTCATTAGCTGTACGGCTGTATCGTGTGCGTACCGTATCGTGCGATTTACTTTCAATGCCCGATCCTGTCTGGGTCGATCAATTGTGCTAGTGGAGCTGGAGAAGCCTACATCATACGGGCTCTCATCTTGGCATGTAGTCTTGTAGGTAGACTACTACGACTCTTCAACTTTCACTGCCGGATATATTCTCCGCCTTGCTTCAGATAAACGAGTGTCTCGACAGGTTAAGCGTAACATGCCCGTCCTTCCATCTCACGACGTATTTAACCCAGCGCATGCAACCTTTCCCCGCCATATCACCCTCACATATGCAGGCAGGATCGTGGGGCGGGCAATAGGGAATTGCATGTCAATACAACTAGCCCAATGAAGATGACAAAACGGGATTCTCCGGTTCCTCGACAATATTCGAGAGCGAACCTATACGTTTGTGGGACTAGTATATGAAATTCAAGGTTGCTGTAACCACATCACACACACAAACAGAGAATGAAACGCCCAACCAAGGGGCACAAATCACCCAGTATTTGATGTATTGAAGCACACAAACAGAACTAGAGTACGGAGTGAGGGCTGGGCTTGGTTTGGGCTGCTACTTCTATATCTACTTACTTCCCCGCATTATCTCCCCGAGATCACCCAACTCCACGTAAGATCACCAATGGCTAGCCAGGCCAACACACTAGACTAGGACATTCTATCACTGCCGCGTTGTGTTATGTTCCTTGCAGGGCCAAATGGCAAGTTGGCCTTAGCTCCCCGACTTTCCTTTCCAACCCGCAATGTCCCCTTCTACCCCTGCTCCCACATCCCTCCCTCTCCTTTTCCTAGCTTCCCGCCCCTTCCATACGGCCGATATACGAATGTGATTAACCTATATCCCGGGACAGCCCTTGAGATCACCGGGGCTTCACGGGTTTGAAAAGTGTACTATAATTTCTTCTATCTGGGCGATGCCGAGGCACGTTGACTGGGTGGTTGTAGAGGAAGAGGTTGAAAGCCAAGAAAGTTTCGTCACTGAACAGCGACAACTACGTCTTTGAAAGCCAAGAGCTTTCCCCAGTCACGAAGAGTGCGGGTTCAAGCATGTCACTGGGCACTCAAGCCGGTCAACAAACGGCACGTAGAAATGTCAAGCTCACAGGACACAGCTTGCCAAGCTCGTTCCGGGTCTTACCGCGAGTCTGTGATTCCAAGGGTTTCCTGCGGCTTTGGTTTCCACACGTCTCGATTTA